GATTATACATACAATAGATGTCAAAGAATCGTTTTTAGGATTTTATAAATTGACAAAACATGGTGCTGAAGACCATGTCAATTTAATTTATGATGTACTAAATAAATGTAATTTAGACATAAAAAAATGTCGAGGTCAAGGCTACGACTGTGCTGCAGTTATGAGCGGTGTATTCTCTGGTGTTCAGAAACGCATATCCGATATAGTTCCTAATGCTTCATATGTCCATTGCACTGCTCATAACTTGAATTTAGTAATTTCAGATGTTGCAAAAAGCTCATTAAAATTGTCAAATTTTTTTGATGTTGTCCAAACAATATTTTTGTTTTTTAGTAAGAGTGATCCAAGGTGGGCTTCTTTGGCATTTGGTAACAAAATTGCTTCAAATATAAGAAATAAAGTTTTAAAAAAAGTTTGTAACACCCGTTGGGAAGCAAGGCATACTGCTGTTTATGCACTTAAAGTGAATTATATACAAGTTTTAAAATCTTTAACTAATATAATTTTAACTAGTAATAAAAATGATGAAAAAAATACTGCAGTATCACTAAAGAAAAAAATGGAATCTTTTGAATTTGTAATTTTAATGACAATATGGGAAAAAGTTTTGAAACCATTGTCTGTAGTTTCTAAAATTTTACAGAGTTCACAAACTAGCTTACATCAAGCTGTATAATATTTACAAGTATGTATTGAAGCAATTCAAAAAATGAGGAATGGTTATGAAGAACTAGTTTCTTCAGCAACAGAATTATGTTCAAAATGGGGAATATCTATAATAACACAAGAAAATAAACGCAAGAAATTTGCAAAGAGGCAGTATGATAGTATTGATAATGATAAACGATTATCACGGATATAGATACTATAGTATCTATATCCGGGACGATTATACACAATTGAAAAAAACTTTCGCGTTTTTTTGCCCCTTACTGATACGCTATATTTCAATTACAAGAGCGTTTCAAAGGACTTGAAACAGTTTCAAGAAATTTTGACTTTTTACAACCACTGAATTTAATTAAGTACAGTGAAGAGGATATAATTAAGTCATGTTATGATTTCATTTCATTTTATAATACTGATGTTTCGTCTGATTTGACCAGGCAAGTTTTATCATTAAGAGATTTTCTAGGAAAAACTGAAATGAAAACAATAAAAGAATTGTCTTTATATATTATAGAATATGATATTTCATCACTTTTTAGTGAAATACTTACTGCCTGCATAATTTTTTTGTCTCTATAGAGATATACCTGTAACTGTTGCATCGGCAGAACGCTCTTTTTCGAAACTTAAGTTGATTAAGAATTATTTACGAAATTCAATTTCTCAGGAACGGCTAACAAATATAAGCATTTTAAACATTGAAAAAGCACGAACAGATGAATTGAATATTGATCACATAATCGATACTTTTGCAAATCAAAAAGCAAGGAAAAAAAACTTTTTAAAGTAAATATAGTATTAAAAATTACCCATATTTAATGAAATAAATTTTATTGTTATTTTTTTTATTATTTATTATTTTATAAATTATATATTATGTGTTAATATATGTGTTTTCATGAAGTGGTTCTTACTATCTTATTATTTTATCAAAAAACTAGTTGCTTGTGACACTCACTGTCGTGAAACTCGGGGGCTTGTGAGACTCGGCGATGCAGACGTCAATGTCGTTGAAATTACTTATAGAAGTCACTCCTGTTGACGTCATGGGTAGTTAAAAAACAAAAATGTATTCGAGCGCGGGAATGTTTGAAATTCCAGTTGGCAGTTTCAGTGTCAAGAAATCTCACTTCACCTACGAAAATCGGCAATTGAATAACACGGTTCCCCGTCCTTTGCTTTTTCGTATGTAAAAAAAATGTAAATTCGAAAACTGAGTTGGAATATCTAGCAAGTCCGTCACCTCAAGCAGTGCCGGATTTACCTCTTCAGCCGCCCTAGGCTATTAGGAAAATGCCGCCTCAAAATCATACAACCATTTTTTTAAAACCAATATGAGATTCATATAAGTGTTATTTTAGTGCACAATTAAAAACTTATTAAATCAAGTACTCAAGAAACGGGAGATTTAATTTTAAAATACAAATACAAAAGTCAAGATATACAGTGATTACTTTAAAAAAACTTTCTTCGTGCTCTTTCTTCAGTATCTTGGTATATTAATTTGTTTGCTCACACGTGTATTTTAATAGGTGAGCGAAACACTAAAACGACACCAACAGTGTAAAAAAATTAGCGACACTAACGACGGGTTAATTTAAGCCAAGTTTACTAAAATTGACAAAATAATTTTGTGATAACATTAATAAGTATGAAATGTTATATTATGAATAGTGAATACTAATTCAGAATAATAATACACACTAATCTATGTGTTAAATTGTCTAATATAATATATTTATAATAATAATTAAAAATGTATATATAAATTATTAAATTAATAGTCCAATAATTAAAATTGGTACTTACGTAATAATCGTTAGCTCATTGCAGGTGTTCGTGTAAAAACAAAATGACATAAATAGTTTGAGCATCAAGTATCGTGCCGCATCCGTATACAATGTATACATGCAATAATCGTTATCGTAAGTTGACGACGACAAACAAAAATTGAAAAACAAAATAATTCCCAGAATATTAATAACGTTCGATTCCAATAAAATACTAAAAATAATAGGTTTGATTAGAGACGTCGGATCTATATGTCCCAACGGTCGACGTGGCCAGGAAAGCGCTAATAAAAGAGAAAAATAATTTTTTGTCTGTTTATAGAGATGAAAAAAAAGAAAAAATTTGCCGCCCTAGGCTACAGCCTCAAGTGAAAATCGTTTTACATTCAAGTTAGCCAGCTAGGTAAGCAATCCGACTTTGTCGGATCGCAGACCCTCCGTTCAGCGTCTATGAGTGAAACTCAACTAAATTGGTTGTATTTACCTACATTATACACACATAATGTATAGAAAATGAACGTTCACATGAGGCAGATGATATTGGTATAGCAAGTGCAGTTTGCAAAAGTTTATAAAAATTTGGAAAAATATTGTTGTCTACAACTGGTATGATGTCATCTATTTCATAATTTTCTTTATTGATCACATAAGAAAAATAAAAGAAAGAAATGTGATTGCAGTACATGGGCAAACAACAAACCACGGTTTTCAGAAAAATACTGAAATAAATAAATATTATGTGTGTGTGTTCTAAACAAGTATAATACAATTATGTTATCGGGTTATCGTCATCGGACGACGCGACAATATGCACGACACGACGTATAAACTATAAAGATCCCCACACACTGCAGCGGTGGCGGTGAAATTCTTTTGTCTTGGCGGTGCCGCCGCGGTGGCGGTGAATTGTGTCCGGACTCATTTTACCGCCACCGCCACCGCGGCAGTGTGTGTGGGCCGTGGGGACCTTAACTAATACGGCGTTTCCGCGTTGGTCTATAAATAAATGTGTTTATGATAAAAATAAATAGGTATATGTATGTAACTATGTAAGTACAATAGTATTGTCAATAAACATTACACTACTAATATTATACTATGAAGCTTTGACGAATTTTAGGGAAAATTATAACATTTAAAACTATAATTTCGGATAAAATGTAAAAAATGAAAGTAAACACCACGGGGATTGAGGGGGCTACATCAATTTCTGTGGGGGCTGTAGCCCCCACAGCCCCCATGCATACTACGCCCATGTAAAGTACATATGGATATGGTACAGTTATTTTATTAGGCTTATGACAATATTAAGTTATGAAGTTTTGTGGCGTAATAATGTGAATATCATTACCACCGGAAGCCGGAATTTTTTAAAAAAAATTATTGATTTGCATTTAGGTATAGCATTTGGGCTGCAAAATTAATACGTCAATATGCAAGTGACAATATTATGGCATTGAAGAGTCATCCAGCTATCAGCGAGATGGTAATGCCCGGGAACCCCGGGTTTGATGAGGCGTAACATAGACTTTATAGACACTAACTGTTGGAAATTGGAAAACAATGTATTTGGATTTTAAAATTTTAGTAAATAAAATATTTTGAGATTAATAATATACTTATTTTTACATAATACAATTATTTTGATATCATTGATTTCTTTAAATTAATTTTGAAATTTATGATACATGAACAGTGGTATTTTGAATTTGAAATAAACACGTTTTATGTAGATAGTTATAACTTATAACACTTATAACGTAAAAGTACCTATGCAAATTTTAATTTTATTTTCCTTAACTATACTTAGATATTGGGTATTTTTAATTTTTTTACTACTAGGACCTCCCAGCCTAGGGACATAAAAAAAAATTTGCCCCGACCCGAGGACATTCGGAAGTCCAAATCCAACCATGTAGGTATGACGTATACTTATGTGACATACATATAATAATTATTATTGAATATTGATGTCGCATAATAATGAAATATTCATTGCCATAATACAATATTATTAAAAATGTTAAACCGGTTACAGCGTGACACACATTTATAATTTGTGATTATTATATCGACGTCAACACAATGGTCCACGGACTAAGATATAATACTGTAGTACCTAGCCAGTAGCCACTGTATAATCACTATAGAGTGTTCTATGAGTCACTACTAAGCACATAATAGATTAAATTTAATCTATTTTGTGTTTATAGTATTTAGTACCTACAACTCAATTGTAGGGACTACTGGACTAGCTATATTTTAAATTTAATATTTTATATAAATTCCATTTGACCAATGGCCGGTTCTGACATAAAGTTTCGTATTTTATTGTTTTTATTCAACCATGATAATATTATTATCTAAGACCGCGCCATCATATGGGATTTGTCATGGTGCTATCACAAAATATAGGAAATTTCAAATTATATTCTATGGTGCTATTATATATCTATAACAAATTAACAAACCCACAGATATATTCTGTGAATAAACCTTGAATTTAAAAAAAATAACATGTAAATATTATTGTATCATACTATCACTCGGCATTCCATAGATAACAGCGTTACGATGTACTGTGTACAACAACACCGTAAAAACTATATTAATTGTTACTCCTACATTTATGTAATATACAAATTATTAATATATTATACTCGGACAGAGTGCGATGGGAATAATTTTTAGTCATTCGTCAATCGTCATTACTCGTTAAGGCTTAGGATTAAAATTATTTATTACATACCGTTCTTAAATTTTAAATACTTGAAAAACACCGATTGTGCAATCGATATTGACCCTGTGAGACGATAACGTTTACGGTTTTCATTGTGATTACTTATTTGTTCGATTAGACTTTAAACCGAATGACCAGTTTTAGTCGACAGTTCGACACTCGACAGTGCAATAATACGAACTCGCCGCTGTTGTCGTTCTACTCTTCGTCTTGAAACGTTGTTGTTTGTTTATTGTACAATTTGCACTGTTTGCGATGAGATTTAGAGAAAATATACTTCATCAGATATAAATTATTATATATTGCAATATTAGCATTTGTCAGCTAATGGTGAAACTCTATCATCTGACAATGAGTCACGACATAGAGGAAACAGAGTAAGTAAATAATATCACAATGTAACAATTGTTGGGAGTTAACCCTGAGTTAATTGTAAACATTTTTAAACATCTTCTATCCACCTAATGCTCTTTAACAACTTCTATTGAGAAGTGTACAACTCTGATCAATATTAATTATTGGTATCTTTTATTATTAGATATTAGGTAATTAAGTCACCAAGATTTGTTATAATGTAAATTTTGCTATAGTAAATAATCAGTTAAACCTAACACCGATAATTTGCTTTTCAAATTATTTTTGTCAATATTGTTTACATTTTACATAATTTAGTGTAGAAATAGTACAATTTCTAACATAAATACATTGTTTGGGTACCCCCCTGTTTTAATTTGTTATACCTATATAAATCTTAGATACTCACTATTATGTTTTAATTTTATTGTTTAACAATTTTGATTTTGTTTTCAGGAGGTTGATCACAGCCAAAAATGAGCATAAAGACTCAAAATGTTGTGGTTTCTGGTGTCAACTTACACTGTCATTGCTTGGCATTATATTTCTTTTCACAGGAATTATCATGGCTGATTTGTGGCCACAGATATTTAACAACATAATGAAAAATGTAATGCCTTATTGTATTTAATAGTTTGAATGACCTCGTAGGTTTAGTACAAACGCTAGCTATTTTTCTATTTATAATTACTAATTATTACTTGCTGTGGGGTATCTACTACCGTCTACCACTTTTTAGTTTGCTAAAATTTCAATTTTCCCATTAAAAAACGTCTTATAATAAATCATACAATAAATGCAAAATATTAAAAACTTAGTTCATAAATGTTTTGTGTTTTCAGAAACTCGAATTAGAAAATAATACATTAACATATAAGTATTGGAAACAAATTCCAGCTCCATTGCACATGAGCGTATACTTATTTAACTGGACAAACCCAGAAGCTACACTACAAACCGGAGATTTACCAATATTGCAACAACTAGGACCATACGTCTTCAAGTATAGAATTTAAATATTATACTTAATTTAATTCACCTTTAAATTAGGTTCAAAACTTGATTGGAAGAATAAATTTAAAACTGTTCTGTACTATATTAACTCTACAAACGATAAAAATAAAATATGTTTAATTTCAGAGAAAACCGTACTAAAGTGAATGTGACATTCAACAATAATGAAACAATAACATACATGCAGTTGAAAAGTTGGGAGTTTGATCAATCTCTTTCAAACGGCTCATTGTCTGACCATGTTACCACAATAAATATTGTGGTTAATGTAAGTTCTGTAGGAAAAATATTGAATATTTGAATTGTTTCAAATAAAACTTTTGTAGATTTTGGGTGACAAACTACAAGCCTTGAATAAACATTGGATATTTGTTCTTACAAACTACTATTTGAAACTGTCAAACATTAACAATCCATATGTAACAAGGACAGCTGGTGAACTAATTTTTAATGGTTACGAAGATCCACTTTTGGACATTGCAATCAAACTAAAAGCTTTTATTCCCATCGACATACCGTTAAAAAAAGTGGGATGGTTGTATGGTGTAATATATATATTTTTTTTTTATCTACTAACACTATATTGTTGATTTACCATATATATATATTAATTAATTACTGTACAAATTTACAGATGAATATGTCTACTTCTTCAGATGGCTTAATCAATATGTATACTGGAAAAAATAATATAGAAAATGTTGGACTAGTGCATTCGGTCAATTACAAAACCAAGTTGAATGTGTTTAAGAAAGATTGTAGTTATTCAAATGCTTCTGCAGGCGATCTATGGCCTGAACACACAGCAATACAACCTAACATGTCAATTTATATACCCGGTTTTTGCAGGTAAATCAATGTATGAACTTATAAATTCTAAGATCATTTATTTATCCCAATATACAATTAAATGTAAATTAAAAAAATACCCATAATGAAAGAAAATCTGTTCTAACCAAAACATTTATAGAATCTCAATTTAATGGTCTTTAGATCAAACTTTTTAGAATATGTCGCCTAAAATATTGAAATTAAATTACCTTAATTTTCAAATATTAATTAAATTAAATGAAATTAAAAGTAATTATTTACTAGATTTTAATAATTTATAGTGCAATTACTATGCTAAGCAACAACCATACATTTATCAATGGCATAAAAGGAGTTGAATTTGTTGCTGGATCTGATAATTTTAACAATACTTGTTATTGTCCAACATCTGGATGTCCGTTACCTGGTATACGGCCATTAAGTTTATGTGGAGACAATGCACTTCCTGTATTCATATCGTTTCCACATTTCTATTTAGCTGATGAATCATACAAACAATCAGTAATTGGTATGAATCCCAACCGGACTTTGCATGAATTCAAAATAATTTTGGAAAACGTAAGTACCTAAACAATTTTATTTTTACAATTAAATATTATTATAAAATTGTAATTATTAAATTAACCTTATATTAATTGCTGTAGGATTATTCAATACCGCTCAGAGTAGATGCTAGAATTCAATTTAATGTCAAAGTGAAACCAATCAAGGGATTAAAGTAATTATTTTTAATTTTTAATTTTTAATGCAGCCCATGTTTATTCTAATTTTAATTTTTCAGAATTTTAAAAAACATGCCAGAAATCTATTTACCTGTGTTTTGGTTTTCTGAAAGTTTTGAAATTCCACGCAATATGTCTGACCAATTGTTGATTGTTACAAACGTATTACCAATGTTTGTTCCTTACGTATGGCTTATATTGGCATTAGCCGGATGTATAATGTTAGTCTTTAGCACTTACTTATGGGTGAGCAGAAAAAATGAATCCTTCACCATCTTGGACCCCTTGTGATAAAGACACAAATATTTGTTTTGTGACGATCTCAATATTCCTAAAAAAATATATATCAAACTAAAAACATCACTTAGCGGAGATATATTACCATTTTTAACATGCAATATTAAATAATTTTAAATTTTACCTTATCTTAAATAATTAATAAGTTAATAACGTGACATAATTGAATATTGATTGTTTTCGTACACTTAACTTCACATTTTTAATCGCATTTTTAATTACAATATTTACCTATTATCTTATATATTATTTACTTACTTTAAAGAAATTCTATGTACTTTTTATTGATGTTATTATTAATTTAAATATTTTTCTTCATTGTCTAAATATTGTTAACATATTTTGAAATTTCTGTTAAGTTAAATGAGAAATATGCAATATGTAAAATTTGCATATTATAAGTGTACAAAACATTTATTATAAAACAGAACAATTTACACTTTAATCCATTTAATGGATAAGTGTAAAAAAAAATTGACAATGTGTATAATGTCATATTTTTTAACATTATATTTTTCAAAATGACTGCCAATCCTTAGGATTAGTGTACAATTATTAATATTTGTTATGCCATATTAAAATTATTTTTGATTAAATGTGTTTTTATTTTGGTTTGTGTCTCGTGTAAACAAGATGTAATAAATTCGCCAGGTTGTAAAGGGTTCTCAATAATAATCAATGAAGTACTTGATACGGCCCCAGCGCCTCATCACTCTCTCTCAATCGTACACACTGCCACTCTGGCCTAAAGAGGGAATATCGGGATTTAATGAATAATTCGCTGAGGCCCAGTGTTACGCGTCCGGCAGTCTCGCGCGTGGGTCGTGGGTTCAAATCTCGTACCGTGCAATTTTTTCATTAATTTCTCGATATCTCTCCCAAGACCGGCCACATCATCTGTGGTCGCGTCATACTGTTTAACACGTTGACTGTGTATGTATTATGAAATTTTCAACCAGTGTGTATGATAAAAGTAAAAAACAATAGTAGTCTAGAAATAACATATAAAAGCTTCTCCAATAACCTACTTGGTCATAAGTCCAAAGGACGTACGTATACATGGTTTAAAATGTGCGTTTAATCCATGCTAAACAATAATAAAATAACAATCAGCCAAGCGTAAGAGATAATAAACTGTTTACCCTAAATATATATTGAATGCCAATTTTGCACCGTAAGCAGTCAACGTATTCAATAAAAGAACATTCAACGTTAAATACAATTAGTCCTAAGGTACTAACATAAGAGTAGTTTATAAACATCCAATATTTTCTGTTAATATGGAAATATGTAAACCCTTGGAGGTTTAACGAAGGATAAATTCATCATCTTCTAAGCGTCCCCTGCAGAGGGATGGTGGATATTTCAGCAAATCCATTTAAATTTTAGAGTTAATACTATTCCTGGAACCAGTCATGTGAGAATGCCAAGAATGGTGTATTCTCTTACCGGACAGATTATAGATTTAGTAGTTGCCAACTATCCAGATATGACCAAAATATATGTGCATTGCGAATCCATCTGTTGGCTATTTTTGAGAAAAAGAAAATTAGGATTGGAATTCGGACAGATTTTTTGTCATAACTAAAAACAAAATATTGATAACATTGTCAAAAAGTATTCACTATCTGGACACATACTTAACTCAAAAAAATAATATACTCAGCCAACTACGGAACACTATAAATAAATATTTTTGAAAAAGAGAAATAATTGTCTAATTGATTTAAACCAAAAATAAAAACAATTATATTATATTAGTATCTATACCTTAATAACTATAACAAATAACAATATAAATTAAAAAAGACATGGTCAAATAAATAAGTATTTTGTTAGATGAACAACTTAATACTCTTTCATAAATAAGGTATGTCTCATAAATCATTAGGTTCATTTTTTGATTTAACAATGATTTAATATAATTAAAGGTGTATTTTTATACCAATTTTTAAAATATACTGTGTTGTAATGAGTGCAGTACGTTTTTCATTTTTGTTTTGGTTCACTATTAATCAGTTACTATGAAAGAACAGGAAAATTTTCGTCATATGACTGCATCGTGTTGACTCCGGTATACATTATTTCAAAAGGATCAAAGGCAGCCAGATCATGTCTGAAAAGTTTTTAGAAAGTTTAATTACACATGGAAATTCAACCCAAATTAGACAACTTGATTGATAACTAAGGTTTAATAAATAACAGAAACCTAATTATGATGAATTTATTTACTTTAATGATAGTGGAATGCGTAGGTCGTTTATATTATCAATTTTTATTTCTTCCATATTCTCCCACACATTTACCATACACATATCTTTTAGACTGGGCTCTGCGAAAAAGAAATAAAATAAAATATATTGTTTTGACAAGTCAGATAATTACTAAAAAATTTGATATTTTACTCAGATCCAGAACATGAAGGTCATCATGATCCTTGAGATTTGAATTTATCATCGATGGATCTGGGTGATTGTACTCCAACTGTCTCGCAGTCACTGCTGGTTTGGGAAAAATCGGACTAGTACCGCCAGATATAAATACCCTGTCATTGATTAATTGACAAATCTGTCTTCTTCTAGCACACGGTGGTGTCCCCTTTGGTAATATTTTCATCCAGGTTGAACTAGCTGGATCATATCGATTTATGTCTTGAAAATGTAAGTCTTTATTCTTATTAAACCCACCAAAGATGTAAAAAAAACCATTATGCACAACTGCAATCAACCGAACAAAAGTATTATTAACATTATTGAATTTTAATTAAATAGTTTTGACATACATGCGGAATGGCTGCGTCGTGCTATGGGTTTAATACCATTAACTTTTGGACGAACCCACTTTTTTCTAGAGGTATCTAAATAATAAATATCGGAACAATATTTATCTTTATCAGTTTGTCTTGGTGCTTCCCAATCACTACGACCACCAAATATATACATTTTATTATCAATAGCAGTTGCAGTATGAAAATCTCTATACGACGGGGGACATCCCTGTAAAAATAAAAACACAGTATTGCTAACAGCGTGCTTGACAACAAGATACAATTTTATAATCAAATATTACCTTTGTTTTGACTATACTCCATACCATGGAATGAAAGTTTAACATATACAAATCCGAAGCAAACAGACCTGAGTGTTCTTCAAATCCACCAAATATGTACATGCAGTTTTTAATGACGCATGCGGAATGACCATCTCTTGGTTCTGGTATATATCCATATACACTTGGTGTTGTCCATTTTAGAGTATCTAAATCAAAAAACTATTTTATTGCACAAGAATTATTACAAACATTTATGGGGAAAAAAAATTTCAAAACCAAGAATCAGACAGGCTAACATTAATTACAGATAAAATGTTTCTTTAAAGCTCTAATTTGGTTTTTTATATTATTATTAGAGAAAAACATCAGTTGGAAACATACAAATAATACAATTATAAATACCGATACACTATTTAGTTCTAAGACATTATATTTTCAGCAACTTATAGACGTATTAAATGTATAATATTAATTAAATAAATTATAAATTTCAATAAAAAATAATATTTTTTTATTATTTAAATAACTAATTTAAACACAAACATAAAAAAGGTACCTTATTTGTCTATAACTATTTAATATGCCAAAACAGTTATTTAAAAAAAAACATAACATCATAGATCAATGGCATTTTCACTCAATGTTAATATTAGCAATTTCTATACACCATCAAATATTTGAAATATTGTGATTTTTTTGAGTTACTTTTAAACATAAGTACAGGAACGCCCCCAGAAAATCAGCTCAGTGGGTGCAAAGTTAAATTTTTGTGATACATACATAGGAAATCACATATTTGCATTACTACACACTGATTTTTTGATTCATTTAAAAAATCCCAGTGGGTGCATTTGCACCCACTGCCCCTCTCTGTGGGCGCCCCTGCATAAGTAAATTTTGAGTTTTGTTTAATTAATTGTCGATAAAAATGTTTTTGCTCAAAAAGCTTGTTTATGTAATTCAACAATAGTCATAAGTTATTAATGGTGGAAATTAAAAAAGTTTAGTGTTTATCTACAATAATTTTTTATAAGCATCTAAAGTTAAAGTTTTGACAAAATTAATCAAAATCACGAAAATTAGCAAATAATTATGTGTTAAAAATGCACACATTTTATCTATTTATATCTAAAGTTTTAAAATGTAATATAAGGTTCTTCTTAAGTTTTTTTACATTTAACAATAAAAAATGAATAGTTCATACCGTAACCAAAAAATATACACGGTTATTTTTTACAGACATAGTTCAAATTTGGACACAATTACATATAAAAACCAAGAATGGCGATTTTGGTTTATTATTTTAGTTATTTGAGATTTTGTTGCAGTTTAAAAACATTATTCATGAGACTTTTAAAGTACATTATTATATTGTACACAGTATAAATTCTCAAACACAATTTTTTTGGCAAAAATTAATTTAATCTACAGTGATAATAATGCCTAACAGTAAAATAAATTACAAATCACAAAATTGACTCAGTAACATTATAGGTTGACAGATCATCTATACTCAAAATCATTTTCGTATACAATGATTCCTACTGAATTCAAATTTAAACCATCCATTAAAGTGACTCTCTAGACACCTAATGTACAGCAGAGTGTTACTCATTTTCCTGCTTTTTAATTTTGAAAGCTTATAGAAACAATTTCTTTGTGAATGAAAATTTGAATTGTATAATTAACTGCTGACTAATTAATAATGAACTAGTCAGCTATCAATCTTGATGTACTTTATCATTTAAATCATGACTTGTACATCAGTTTAACTGTTAAATCATGCATATTTATTTAATGATTTTAATAATTTCAATAATAATACCTTTATAATGCCCTTATAAGCTAAGTGTTAAAATTATGATTTTAAAAGTGCATTGTACAAATATGAATGAAATATTTTAATTAACATAGTAGGTACCCTTAAATTAACCTTTTTGGTTAAATTATAATACTATGCTTCTAGATAATGATAGAAAATTTTTATTAATTTTCCTTATTTGAGAAGTAGATACAAAAATATTTCTTAAGAGGATGACAGGACATGAAACCTATATGGGTCTTTCAAACGGTCAACATAAAAATAGTGTGTTATGAGCATTTTTAAATATTAATACTTAACATAGGTACTCATAACTCGGTTAAAAATCAAAATAACATTAAAAAACTTATGAGTGTACATGGATAGGCAATATTTTTACCTTTGAGTTTGATAATAAATCAATTTATACTAATATATTTATGTTAACAACACAAAATTGGAACTATTGAACTTACAGTTTGGCACTTATTATGGGTTAGTAAGACAAAGGGACAAAACATACAAGTGCAATATTATTTTTAATAAGCATACTTTAATTTAGGTACCTATTACTACCTAATAACTGTGTAAGTATTTGAGTACCAACATTTGATATTTTTTTATTATTAAGATTTAAAACAATTACTTGTGTCAAAACAGTACAGAGTATTGCAAACTTGATTGTCGTTACGTCCACCCCACAGGTAAATATTAGAACCAAGATTAATTGCTGTGTGGCCATACCTCTGGAACGGAACACATTTGCAGTCTTGATTGTTTAGCTCCAATTTCCACCATTTCAGTTTCACTAGAATTACAAAAGTAGCATAATTTACATTAGGTACAATCTAAAGCACATAGTACTAGACCAGACGTCCTACAAAATTTTACCAGTGTCTAGTATATGTATGTCGATCGGCTTGAAGTTATTGTAGTCTATACCGCTGCAGTAACCACCAAAAGTGAAAATGCTCGTGCCAATCGCGACTGCTGCGTGGTTGACACGTCGGGGGCCACCATACATGTGAACTGTCCAGTACATATTCGAGCTAATGGATTCCAAGCTTCTGTCGCCACGTACCTACTCTGATTTTTTTAAAATCTTTTCTGGCAACACAGGTGCCTAGAAATCTGGTCGCAGCTGACGACGAGAGCACGAGAGGTTCTTTGGACGTTATACCTCAGTCTCGGACGTGCGAAAATAGTTAAGAAATAAGAGCACAAGATAAATATTACAGGGACTACGTACACAATATTAGTCCTTTCAGGGTACTAGCGTTCAACTACAGTAGTCGATTGAGGCAAGTACCTGCCATCGATGAGACTTTGAGAGTACGAGACGTGACATAAACGAGCTGAAAAATAAAATTAATAAATTGTAATATTGTAATAAACAAAAAACTAAAAAGGCCAATAATAGATAAAAACCGTAATAAAAGATAATAATAATAATAATAATAATAACAACAACAACAACAACAACGAACTAGTTCGGTTCCGAGGTTTGTTCGCAGTTGGCAGTTCTTTTCTCGCTGGTGGGTCTATTCTACATTCCTAATTCCTATATCCAACGGTTGGCGTCTGTCCCACATACGGTCGTCGACTGGACCGCGGTCCGCAGTACCACAGGCCGGAACCGGAACGGCAAGAACACCGTGGGGCGGCACGTGCGACGGCCGTCGTGAACGGTGAACGGTAATGTTGTCGAAACTCGATATGGAAATTGATAGGTATTCCCAACGAGTGGTGACGACGACGGATGAACGGTAGGGGTAAATTATAATAATAATGCCATGTTCAAGGGTGGGGGGAATGACTTGAGAATCGCAATGGAATAATATTATTATATTAATCATAGATCAATAATATATCATAATATTAGGTTTTGTATATTATTATGTAGTGCTTTGAATTGGTGGGGGGGAGTACATCTTATTTATAGTAGTATGCAATTTTTTAGTGTAGCCAAGAAGTATTTTTAAATACATCTTGAGCCAGTTGAGCGTATTCCTTTTAATTAATATGCACTGTTCAAGAATCGTTCATCATTAGGATTCTCAATTTAAATTTTCAGGTACACAATTTATTTTACACTTTTGGAACCCATTATAATTTTCAGAAAAACCCCTCTCCGTAGTCAATACTGGATCTTAGACCTTAGTCTAAATAAGTAGAAGAGGCGAGACCATACAAATATTGAAGGCCCCTTATTAAAAAAAAATGTTGCTATTTATAAATATTAATTAGTCTGAAGTCATAGTATTATGATGTATGAATGTATGATGCATTAATTATATTTTTTCGGTGTTAAATAAAAGTGAATATGAATTTTAAAAAAGAAAACATTTCAACCAGATACCTCTTGACCATGAATTATGAATTAAGATATAATAATATCTGTTCTTGACTATTATGTGTTCCTTTAAATTGACAAGAGTAGGGATGAAAAAGATAATTTATAAATATTCTTTTTACTTGACCATTATTTATTATTCTTATAATTTATTAATTTTCAAAGTAAGAAAATCTGAAACATCAACTCGAGGCACCTAAAATAACCTTAGCCTTGAGTCTTGACCCCCAATAATGGTCATGCATCCCGCTAAATCTGGTACTGGCTGTGGTACTCGGGGTACAAAATATGTTTTCACGATGAGTAAAGTCAATAATAATAAAAATTGATGCATGTATAATGTTCAAATCAAGGGAAAAAACCAAATCATAAAAAAACATGTAAAATGTAAATCAAATCAAATTTTCATACTTCACTATTACGCCATATTTTTTTAACATAAGTTATAATTTTATAATTATAGTATAAAATATAATTCAATACAATTGTATAACATTATAATTTAATTTAATTTAGTACAATTTTTTAAATATACTTTTGTTGAATTTCGCATGGTTTATATAAAAAGGTTGGTTAATTTAAAATTATTAAAGACATAATAGTAATAAATAAAACAGTATCTATATGGCTGTTGAGTATTTTCTCCATACTTATTTCCTACTAATACACATATACATACAAATATACTACGGATACATACACAGCTAACCGAACCTAACCGATATCGAACAAGATTTTAATCAACTATATAATATAGACACAGTGCCACATACACACACTAACTAAACAGAAATTTAACATTCCTAAGACGGAAAAACTACTCCCAAAACGTAAAATAACATACTACGCATAGGTAAAATAGTTTTTATTGTACATTTTTATTAGGTACTTATTCAAATTTAACAAATTTGTAATTAGAAAATTAAAACTAATGTTAGGGCTTGGATTTAAATGCTCTTTTAAAAAATGTAAAACATAAAAACTCTAAAAAAATTCCCCGAATTTCTTCAGAAATCAAGATGAATTTGTGAATCATTTGATTTAAAAAACAGATTATCTTATATTGTTTAAATAGTTGTAAAATAGGTTAGGTTAGGTTTATTTATAAATTAGATTTTTTCGTTATAATAATATAATTAGATTAGAAAATGTCCTAAAAAAATAAATAATGCCTTAAAAACATTTAAAAATGCTCTTAAACGTCAAAAAAACTTTGAAAAATGTTATTATGTTAATCTTGAGCACTGCAGGTATGTACTTGAGACACCTAACACTTTTGTAGGACTATAAAAATTTGGTTTTTTTCCGTCCATTATATCCAATATTAGTTCTGGGAGAATAAACATATGGAAAATTATAAATATATATATATTATATATCAATATGACAATATTTCATAATTATTAAATGTATAGAAATATACAATTATACCTAGGTGCCTACTCAATAATTATTTTATTGGCTATCAGCTGTAAAGTATAGATCTAAACTAAGTTTATAGTCTATACTAGTTTAAACTATTGAAGGTTTATGTATCATGCATTTAGCATTAGTATGCATTAGCTGTAGCCCAACTAACCACTCGTTCACGCACTAGTGAAATGACCAATTTCCATACATTATGTAATGAATAATGATAGAACATAGAAGATAGAACCTATAGCAACTGGTAAGAAAAAAACAAGATGAAATATGCCCATGTTCATGAAGTTTTTGAGTTTAAAAAGGATTAAGTCCTATCTTATTTTCTTTTTTTAGAGAAACAGTGAGGGTATGGCAGAAGTAAATATTTCTTCATTTTTTCATTTTTTTTTGTTGAGATACTTATATAATTAGAAGTAAGTATATTGTATTATTATTATTTTATTCAACGTGAAGGGCGGAAGTCCAATTAAAATATAATACAGCACCTATTTGGCATTAACATTTTTCATGTTATATGAATATAATAATGTATACCGTATAGGATAAAAATAAAAACTAATTTGTAATTTAGTTAAAGTAATATAATCAATTAAAGAAGGAGTAATAGCAGTTGAAGGTGTCTGGATTGGCCCATAGGCTTGATCACACTTTTTTTCGCAATGTACCTATGCATATTATGGCACTTTAATAAAATAACGATTAATAATAAAATATATTACTTAAAAACTTTAAGTCTAAAAACCCTAGTATTCTACACACTATTGAGCCTATTAATACCTACTTATAGCCTATAGGGGTAATCGAACAATCATTTTCAGTCCTAAGCCTGTAAGTGGGAAGGGAAATGAGTGTTTTCTAAACGTTTAACTCCTTCAAAGTTCAAATGCATGATATTTTTGTTGGAATACCTTTTTTGGCCGTAGCCATTTTCCTCCAAAAACGAGATATTGTTTTCCTCCAAAAAAATAAAATATAATTCTTAACCATTTTCTTCCACTTCCACTTTCCTTCAAATAATAAGGTATATTTCTTTTTAATTTTAGGACATTTCAGCAGCAAATGAATACCTGTTTAAAGAAAAGAAAAATTTGATATAATTTGAACAATCAATTTACTTTTTGTAATTACATACCCAGAAATTTCTCCGTTTTCCAGTTTAATAATTGCATTGTCGATTGCTCTACGATGTTTGTTTGTTCGGTAATCTTTCGGTTTTTTAGAGAATGGACATTTTTATTTTATCAATTTGAATTTGCTTCATAATATTGAGCCACATAAAAATGTTTGGATTTTCTTTATAACAATTTTCTTTAAAATGCGAATGGAATGAATCACATGCATTGGTAGTTCATATTAATGAAGATGAAGATTCTGCCCAAATGAAGTATTTCTTGAAATGTACGTGTCTGTTAAATAATCAGCGTACTCATTCACTCTATTGTCGTCAGGTTTAATGCTTATAAAATCTTCAATAAAACATAAATAAACTTCTTGTGGAGTTAGAAATGTGAGCCCAAACGTATTTCTAATCCAAGAACCAATTTCAAAATTGTTTTCTGAACTCTGAAATCTTGAACTAAACCAAGACTTTGAATTTTTCGAAACCATCATTGTGTCAGGTGAAACCTACAGCTAACTATTAGTGTATTAGGCCACTATGGCACTATGCTCATACTATAGAAACAGCATCATAATTAATGAATAGCTTTCTCAAAACCGATTAAGATTGATTTTGGATTTATTGTCAATTTTAATTCAATACATTTAAGTGTAATATATTTATATGGTTAAATGTATTAACATATGTGTTAGTGGATTTATTAACTTGAAGACAAAACATAATCGGTATATAATGTCCGTTTTTAAAGTCATGTATGGTAAACATTTGGTTAAAACGTTTAGCACTGTATATGTAAATGTACCATTGAAATAAATACTTTTAGATTCGCATTCATCTTTCATGCCCGGCTGTAAACCCACCAAAACCCACTCATTAAAAACCTATCCATCCAAACATTACCTGGCAACCCCAGGCGTCGATTAAAAAGGAGCTGATGCCGTGACTTGCTAGGGAACTAATATCAAAAAAAAAAAAATCAGAATATATAAATATAGCTAGTTTCATACAACTTCCAGTCAAGTGCCATTAGTGGGTGGCTTCTTACTCATGTACTCATGTATTATTGTAACCCTTATCCCACAAAATTATACCAAATACCCAATTTGGTTTCAGAGAAAACTACTCCACAACCCACCAGATCCACCGAATTGTCGACAAAATAGCCTCGTCGTTTGAGGTCAAAAACTTCTGCCCGGGAGTATTCTTAGACGTATCACAAGCGTTCGACCGTGTCTGGCACACCGGATTACTCTTTAAACTAAAAATGTTCCTCCCGACTCCACTTAACTTGTTGACCAAATCATATCTACAAAACTGCTCATTTTTTGTCCGCAAAAGGAGACGCCCTCTCATCACAATTCCAAATCTTAGCAGGAGTACCTTAAGAAAGTGATTTATCATCAGACCTCTACAAAATTTACACACCTGACATTCCCAACTCCGAAAACACACTGATAGCCACTTACGCCGACGACACGGCAATCCTCTCATCCCATTCCGATTCCACAACAGCATATCAAAACCTCCAAATTCATCTTGATAATATTTCAAAATGGTCCATCAAATGGAGAATAAAAATCAATACAGACAAATCCTTTCACATTCCTTTTAATTTAAGAAAAGCTGTTCTTCCTACAATCTATTTTCAAAACAATCCAATCCAAACCACAACTCAAACCAAATACTTAGGTCTAATTTTAAATAAGCGTCTAACTTGGGGCCCACACATCAAAATTAAAAGAAAGACTCTTAAAACCAAACTTCACCTTTTACGGCCTAACCTCAAGTCCAAACTCTCTATTGACAATAAATTACTAATAAACAAATCAATGCTAAAACCTATCTGGGCCTACGGCATCCGTATTTGGGAAGGTACTTATTACTTATATACAAGCCTTCCAGTCTATTTCCCTTCACCTAATAACATCTGCACCATAGTACGTCTCAAACTTCTCACTTCATAAGGATCTTAAAATTGAAACAGTCTCTAAAACAGCCAAAAACTACTACAAAAATGTACACACCAAAACAGCTAACCACACAAATCCATTGATTTCCAACTTGGCCAGTGACTTCATGCCTAATAACTCCCCACGTCGACTAATAAGACTCTGGTGTCGCAATCTCCTGAATCCCGAACTGCACTAATCAAAAAAAAAAAAACTCTCTCCCCCAAGTTTGAGGGTATCCACACTGGTGGGCCTCCCTCCTCACGCCATTCATGTTGTTCCTTTATTATATTATCAAATTTACTTATTGTATGTATATAAATATTACAGATTGTAAATATTCTATTTTATCCAATAAAAAAAAAAAAACATTTATAAGTATATACGTATATGCGTTATAATATGTACGTATCTTTATTAGGTTTAGTCTTTAGTCGATAGCTGATATAGATATAGTCAATACCAGAATGTAATCATCAACCGATAAGCGCAAATTGCGATCTTATAGCCTTATGTCTAATACTTTATCTTTATAATACGGAACGTAATACTACAACACTGGTTAAAATATTGGAGGAAAATAGACACAAAATTTTATGTAAGGTAATGTGAAAAAAAACGAAGGGGCTTCAGCACCCCCACTTCTTTCATTGAAATTGCGCCCCTGGCTATATGATTTATTACTGTACAACAAATCGAAAGAGCGTCATACAAAAAATGTTACCATTATAAAAATTATTAAAAAATCATGCCAACTCAAGTTTTCAAAATGTATTGTTGTAACACACTTCACTCCTACTCCCAAGACAAATCTACCTTATAGGTACCATTAAATATTTGAGTATAGATAGAATCTATACGACTATATTCAACGTTCAATGTTCATAGCCTTATAGTGTTTATAGGTTATAGTACCTCACTACCTCAAGTCATACACCATATGCTCGTAGACATGATCTAAGCCTTATACTTAACTACTTAAGGCAAAAGCAGGGGAGGCTCCAGATAAGGGCTCTAGGTGCCACACTGCCGCTACCCCAAAGAACAAATTTGTAAGAAATTGTATATTGTTACAAAAAAAATAAATATATAATATAGTATCGAAAGTTTTCTGAAAATAATGATTTAGCCCCCCCTACCAACCAAATTCCGGAGCCGCTCCAGGGCAAAAAGCAAAGGCATTGAACCTGTGTCAGTATATGGTGTAGTTACTAGTTAGACTGCAACTCATGAGCAAAGGGAGCAGGCTGCAGCAGTGCACCATAGAAAAGATAATTCCATTCTTTAAGATATCTTATTTTGTCCGTTTTATCCTTAGATCATATACAATGGATGGAGTCATAACATACTAGTAATTAGTATTATACTACACATCCATTCCATTGTATATGATCTAAGGTTTTATCCATAGATATATCTTTATTATCAATGATATTATCACAATCCGTATTATTCCGTGGTATTATCAAGTTTCCTTATCTGCAATAAAATAATAATATTTTAGTAGTAATAACAAAGGCCAAAACCTTAAACCAGCGCTGTAGGTAGGTACCTATCTAGATAGTAAATGACTATTTAATTCTAAACTATTTAGGCATTACTTATTATATTGTTATTATTTAGTGTATTGAATTACCAAATAAACATAGAGTTTAGTTAACTTAATTATTATTACGAGGTATCACGATGTTGTCGATTTCGTTGTTTCGTTGAATTTGAATTTCTACGACTTTCTGCAGTGGACAGTGTAAAAGAAGACGTTTTGAATAGCTCGCTAAACAAACGGCCTTGCAACTCGACTACAAGAGGTACGCGATTACGACAATCCTCTCCGAACGTGAATTTCGTCTCAAATTAAGGGCGACAGTATGGAGGAGTTCAAGACAAGAGTTAAGAACGAAGGCGATATGGATGCATGGGAATTGTCAGAAGCATACGACGTAAGTTCAAGAGAGTATTAGTTTACTCGTCGAGATTAAACTTAACGCAAATCTTCAAAGATGTTGGATGTTTGTCTGCGTGTATGATATTATTGACTCTTTCCACATGATTGTTCGTAGGGTCTGTCTAGTCAAGATCTGCCTAAATAGGTACTATTACATAATCAACTTGTGTGCCCTCAAAATTATTATGTAATATATATTTACTTGTTTATTTATTTATTTAAATTTCATACAATGAATACTGTGCGTCTGTGCCCCACTGAGAAAACTCGTGCAGTGGCCCAGAAACTATGATTGTATTTAGTTAATTTACATTGATTACTTTCAATTTCTGTGAGAAATTAATAATATTCAAGTCATATATACAATATACATATATATATATATATAGGTAATATTATGTACTATTTCAGCGCAGAAATTACATATTATAGATTACTAGTCTTGTAAGCTTTACTATATATCTTCTCAATGTTGGACATATTACAAAATGTAATGTTGAGTTTGATTTTTCAAATCTGAGGACAACGTTAATTTACTTATTAATGAACTAATTTACTAACAGGGGGTTACCTATATAATGATTATAACAACATGTGCATTGTCTCTTTTTTAGGATTATGTTGGATTCATAATAGCCATGAACAAGTCTGTGTATGCCATACCATTGAACAAAACTTTGACGTTGTCAAATGAGGTTTCACAGTTATTAAGTGTATTAAACACAATTGATGATTGGATTACGGAAGTGGAACCATTGAAAGAGAGCTGTAGGTTTGGAAATAAAGCTTTTTCTACATTTTACAATTTATTAAAAATGGTTAGATAATAATGATTGATTTAAAAATTGTATTTATTGGTAATAATTTATTTTAAAATTTATTTTCAGAGATTACCCGAAATATTGTCAAAGGAACTGTCATCAGTTGACCAACAAAACATTATTGAGCTAACCGCTTATATTGTTGACAGCTTTGGTAATCCAACTCGTATCGATTATGGCACTGGACATGAAATGTCATTTTGTATGTTCTTGTGTGGCCTATACAAAGTAGACATATTGAAACAAAGTGACAGTAAAGCTACAGTCAATGTACTGTTTTCAAGGTTAGTTAATTATTTTCATACTTTATGTAGATATAGTTAATTGTTGAATTGTCTACGACTCCTGTTTTCAGATATTTAGAAATAGTTCGTAGACTTCAACTCAGGTATCAAATGGAACCAGCTGGAAGCCACGGTGCTTGGAGTTTAGATGACTACCAGTTTGTACCTTTTGTTTGGGGTAGTGCACAACTAATCGGTAACACAAACTTAATTATTGTAATTCTATTTAAGATTTTAAAAACTAAATTGATTATTATTTTTAGAAAACCCAGATTTTAATCCAAATTTGTTTGTTGACGAAAAATGTGTACAACAGTTCAAATCAAAGTATATGTTCCTCGGATGCATTGATTTCATAATGCAAGTAAAAAAAGGATTGTTTCATGAACATTCTAACCAACTTTGGAATATTAGCGGTGTTCAAAGTTGGAATAAAATCAACGAAGGTCTAATAAAAATGTATAAAAAAGAGGTAATAATATTACAATACATATTTTTATCGTTTAACTTTCATCTGAATGTGTAACCATTCATAAATTACTATTATTTCAGGTCCTGGGAAAATTTCCAATCATTCAACATGTACCTTTTGGAAATTTATTTAATTTTAAACAATGCATAAAAAAAAAACCGTTTGCCACAACTTCAGTGATGAAAACTCCCGCACTGTCACTATTGGAAAAATTAAAGAAAACTGACCAATCAGTGCCAAACAGTAAATAAGTAAATTGTTGTCACATTTGTTTAACTTATACAAATGTGTTTATACTTGATGTGAATTAATTATAATCAGCTATATCTTAAACGTTTTCTACAAGTTCAATAAAATTACAAACTTAATATTACAAGACATTTGCTTAACTATCACTAGTGACCACTGATGACTTTCATGAATATTCATTGATCCCTATATTGAATTATTTACTGTTGATGAATAATGAAAACAGATTATTCACTATTATTAATTAATACTAATTAATAATTATGAACTTTAAAAAGTATGGAATTCATTTTCTTGATTTGAGTTTGACCCCAGGTTGTCGAAATAAGTTTAATTTGTATAACATTAAAATATGTAATGATTTGTTTTACTTTGTACTAATTATCACTTGTATAAATCTTTCATCTATGATTTCACAAACAATCAATTTGGTTTGTTGTTTTGCAGATAATTTGTATGGTAAATAGTTGTAGTATACTACTATCATTGAGCTTACAACACACCCACTAGCTACGTACTTAATTCTATTTAGGAGCAATAAAATATGGATTTTCACTTTCCCGCTTTGAATCTGTCACTACTAAATTACACAAAAATTAACATTCTCGTTGTGTAATATTAATTCACTTAAAATTTCTAAAAAATGTAACTTAAGTATATAATTAAGCTCAGCCAGTATTGTTGATAATAAATAAAATATTAAACAAACAATAAGCATAGTGTATAAAATGCAAATTAATTATATTCAATCTAATACTTTTAACTAAAATTAAAAAAAAAAAATATTAAATACACATTAGACATTCATTTTCATATTATGCAAGTAAACCAACACTTGCATATTTATATCGTATTAATTAGGTAAAATTTATGTTGTAGCAACAAAAATATAAAAAAAAAAAAAAACATTTTTAATATTTATAGTTATGATTTGAATAATTAGGATAAATTAACAAAAAAAACATCTCATTGTACAATTAAAATAATTATGAAATCAGTAGGAATATAATATATACATTTATAATTTAGACATTATTTTTTAATACGCAATTTTGATATTTGATACAGTGCCCGAGCAGGAGAAAGTACTGAATTCATGGAATTATCCTGTTAACAAATAAAGTTATTTTAATCTCATAAAATTCAAAAGTATTATGAAAAATGTTTTGTTCTTACAGAAGGTATATTACTACTGTCAATTAATGGAGCTTTGCTATCAAACAACTTGCGCTTCCGTGTACTGATTGGAATGTTCGCTATTGCTTCGTCCATCTTCTTTTCACAGCTATCGGGAGTTTCTGTATTTAAAATAGGAAGTTAAGAAAATTTAAAAAAGAAAAAAAAATTTAACGTTGTCATGTTTAAAAAATAGGAAACAAAATTTTTTTAGTTGGCAGCATTTTTACAGATTTACTGAAATGTATGTATTGTTTCCTGTCATTAATCAATGAAGTTTACGTTAAGAGGACACATGTTCTTTTCATAAAACAAATGTGCATTCAGCAGAATAGATTTTATTGTAAGAGTCCACTGATTGTCATAATACTTTCAAACATTAAACTACAACATTATTTATGTTTGTAATTGTGTAGGATGATATTTTAAGTTTTTGCCAATTTTTTTTATTGCAATACCTAACATTCTCAAAACTTACGAAAAATTTAATTTTTCTACAAAAACCATTAAAAAAATAATGAACCCAGATTTTAGATTTAAATTTAACTATAATCAATTTACCAATATTACACATGTGATATACATGTAGGATGAAAACAACACATATAGTGGTGTAGGGGGGGGGGGTACTCGTAAGTAGTAAATTGGCATTATTATCATTTTAGTGATATACAATAATTTATGTATCCTATACTAATGAGCACACAATGGTCTACCACACATAAATTATCCATTATTACCTGTTTTCCAATTTTTTGTTTTTCTGGAACAAAAAAAAAACACCAGTTTTAGTTAATGCTTAAAAAATAAAAACTATTTCTATTAAACTTAAGAGCTTTTTAAAAGCTAAATCAAAACATACTTTTTTTAAATAACTAAATAATAAACATAGATGATTTATGTTTCAAAATGTGATGTAGTTGTATTGAAATACATATGTCGGTAGAGAATTCTAAATTTAAAGAAACTGAAGAATACAATTTAATACTAATAATCAACAAACATTAGACAGTCAAAATACAGTCAGTATCATCTATAACTATGGCTAAGCGACCATAAAAGAAAAGTTGTTATGTAAATGTACATGTTAATAAAAGGGATTTTGCCAGGACATAGAAATGTAATTTGTTATACTTCATATGGTGTTATAGATGGTACATAAAAACCGAGTATGAGCCTAATAGAATGCACTAAAAATAGGTAAAATACATGCTTTTAACTTCTAAAAACCTGCAAATCTAAAAAAAACATAAAAATTATTCAAATCATTGTAAAAAAATACTGAGTAACATGCTATGCAGATATCGAGTAGGTCACTGTAATGAAAGTGTTAAATTTTTATTCAGTGATAAAATATTGTACACAAAAATGATTCGAAATGAGCTGTCATACTATATTTTTTAAGATAATTCATAATATATTTGGTCGCATTTGGACAAATTTAGATAATATTTTACAAATGTTATTAAAATATATAACGTTACTTGTGTTAAGAAGACCAGGTCTTTGATGCTGTATGATCAAATTAATACAAACAATAGCAATTACAAGATCAATCAACAAAGATTACAAGACATAAATTACTCAATTCTGTTATAAGAGAAAAGAAACTTGTTTCGTGCATTTTTTTCTTTATAACAGTGAAATGTTTAAGATTTAATATGAGTTATTATCATATGTAGTGTTACAATTCAAAAATGAAAGGTGCGTTTTATTTAAGATGAATAATCAAGCAAAATAATAAAATCGATGTCATATCAATAATTTGGCGATCTACACAATATCTGAAAATTTATGAATGAAAGTATTAAGTAAGAACTCCTAAAAAATATTTGAAATATTAATCAGTCAAAAAATATTTCATCTGAATAATAATATTACAATAGTTTTAACCACAGTTATAAATATTATACTTAAAACCAGTGATCCAGCAATGACACCAATATTTAAAACAGTAAATTATTTAGTGATGCCCGAGTGGTCATTCGCTCGCTGCGCTCGGACAAAGAAAAACAAAAACATCCCTTAGTTTGCAATGCAACAATACCTCAAGTTGGTCACAATATTGTTACCTAAACTATGGTTTGGCTAAACGATAATAATAGTAAGGTTCTGTCAAAATACCAGTCGGCTTAGATACGGTTCTGCTAATATACTTGTTTAAGTTATTATTTTTTGGCTAAATATTTTCATCCCAATAATTTTTGTAATAAGAGATTTAATTTTGAGATAACTCAATCATCATAAAAATATGTTGTAAGGTGAGAGTAAATGTTTAATCTATAGTAACAAGAGAGTCTGAGAGAAAATAAATGTTGTGAGAACATTAAGTAAATATAAATATAGGCAAATGTGTACTTTGTGAGGTCTAATGTCACCACTGCTTTTATAACCTGTTATCCGTCATATAATAGATACAAAGGAAAAATAAATAAATTCTTATAGAGGTAATTATTATTGTAGTTTACTTGATATTTGTTAACGGAGTCTTATTTTTACATCTTTGTGGTTTGCGTTCTGATTTTGAAAGCTAAACAAAAATTAATTAAGTATATTATATTTTATGATTAATAACATGAAACTTATATAAATAGTAATTATCTTACCACATTTTCTTTTTCTTCTAATACTTCAACCATTTGTAAAGGCTATTATAAATATATAATTAATATACAATAAATTTAAGAAGTTAATTTACAATATTGACTTACTAATTGGACATTGCTTAAATTTGTTACTACAGCTATACTTTTAGTTGCTGGTTTAGTATTTGCCGCTTTTAAATTATCAAATGTGGTCTGAAGTTCATTAAATCTATTATCATAATCCCTATAATTAAAGTAAATGTTATTAAAACAAAATATGCTTGTTTCATTGGTAAATATTTTATTACTTTAATTCATTTTCTAATTTTTGAATTCGTTCTTGGAGCTTTGCAATCTCTGATTCTTTATCTGTAAAAAAAAAAAAAATTAAAATTACGCATAAATAATGATTAATATTATATTAACCTGTTAACTTTGAAAGCAGAAGAGACTCATTAGTACTACTTGTATTTGACTGTTCTTTTAACTAAAATTAAAAAACATAAATTAATCACTAGCACAGGTAAAATAAGGTCTGTATTACCATTTGTTTTAAAGTTTGATATTGCTTTGCCATATTAGACTTCTCTTCGTTACATTTTTTATTCTTTGCTTTCAGTTTCGTTATTGTATTTTCCAAGCCAACAATTGTCTCAATTTTTTCATCCATGTACTTTAAAATATTTTGTTCTGTCTAAAAACATTTTATGTTTAAATTTCTTATATGGTTGCATACATAATTGATTTTTATCATCTTTAAATTATTACTATAACTAAGCTTATTCACTATTACGGCAACTATAAGAAAAAAAAATCTTACCATTTCAGATACACGTTCTTCTTGGAGTAATTCCATTTCTGTAATATAATTGTCTTTTGCCTCTAATGAACCAGTTAGTCGTTCGATTTCTAAATTCTATAAGATAATAATTACTTGTTAATTTATATTTTTATATTAAATATAATATGAAGAGTATGAACATATAGTTTGAATGTTGTTTTACTCTATTATTATTATTAATACTAAATTACTATAAATTTACATACAGCCAAAAGAGTAGTTTTAGAAATAAATGCTGAAAAAACTGAGTACATGACATGATCATGCAGAGGAGAGGTCGAGGATCATGTTCACCCACTTTTAGAAGTTGGGCAGTACAAGTTTCAGAGGGATAAAATACTTGGCATAAATATTGACACAAAAAATAGATGAAATAATTAAAATAAAAGATTGCAATTCAGTAATAAATGTTACTACAGACTAAATAAGTTGTTAAAGTCCAGAACGATATTAAAAAAACAACAAGATACAACTGTATCGCACTATTATCCATTCAGTGGCAATGCACGGATGTGTGAAGTGTAGAC